CTAGCCGCTCTGGCCAGACCCCTGGGCCTTTTTAATGGGCTTATTGGTTTCTCCTGGTGGCAGCTCTTTCAGGAGGGAGGCCCCTTTACACCCCCCCCCCACCACCACCTATTAGACTTGCCAATGCCAATCATAATTGGAGCCACTGAGTGCTCTGAGAGGTTTTGAAGGTTTTCTTCCCCCTCCCAAATCCCCGAAGCAATGATTTCTGAAAGAAATGCCTTGCTCAGAAGCTTCCACAAAGGAAGCCTTCAGTTGCTGGGAGAGATTTCATAACTGCTCTTGTTAGTTTACAGATGAATAATTATGGGGAGAGGGTCCTCTGTTACTCACTGGTATATCTAAATTTGCTCCAGCATCTATAAGCATTTGGACCATGGCTTCATCTCCAGCAGCACAGGCGTACATTAGCGGGGTCATACCCTTCAGGAGAAAGAAAAAGAAAAAATTCTCTTTCTATACCTGTCAACAGCGAAACTGTCACGGACACAGCAAGTTTGAATCTTGATGTGCAGAAGAGTGCGTGTGCAGGTGTGTGTGAGGACAGCATTTGTATGTGTTCAAAACATTTTGGCTTCTACGCAGAGCGGGCACAACGCGCTAGTGTTGGGAAGTGATGTGGACAAAACACCGGGGGACAGGACTGCAAGAACAGAAAAGGATCACTGAAAATCCCAGCCATCTATTGTCCACAATTCTCGAGCTTTCTCCAGGCTGCCAAGAAAGAAATACCATTTCTTGGCTCATTTGTGGCCAGATGAACCGAAAGCAGAAAACAACACAAAAATACACAAGATTAATTTATTTGGCAACTTATCCCCATTGCTAAAATCCTATTTGCCACAATATTTCAGCATTTCAATCCCATAAATCTCTCTCTCTCTCTACTGAACCAGCAAACCATGACGGCCCAGAGATGAATTATGAGAGAAATGAGCCTTGCTTACGGAGTTCATTCCAGAAGTAGTCAAGAACAAAAAGGAAACGGCCTAGTGAAATCCATCCCTGCTCACATCTTCCGGCTTTCCCCCACCTCCTTAACTATTGTGTTTGAATTTTTCACAGGCAGCATCTCTGTCGTTCATTGTGCAATAATACCGCTTCATCTTTCAGTTTTGCATTCCCTGCTTCTTCCTCAATATGCAAAGGGAAAAAGAGATTTTTTTTTTTTTTTCCTAAACACCTCAAATCCTGGGAAACCGGAGTGCTGCTTGGTCCCCCGCTAGCAGTGAAGCTCCAGTTTCTGAAGGTCTGTTTGGAGTTCTATCCCTCTCTCGAAAACCACCTCCATACACACGCACGTAGAAGCGGCTCTGAACACACACCTCAGCGCTCAACCTGTTCACGTTCTGAGTGTGGTCAAAATCTGAACCTGGATCTAAAGCCTGTATGTTACATTACTCCAACAGTTCTGTCTGTTGTAGGGTTTGCAACAAACCTTTGCTGTACTCGCCAGGTGAGAGATGCTCACAGCTGCTGGCGGTGCCTCAGACGTGCCGGCCCGCTGTGCAGTGTGCAAAGACGACTGATCACGACCAAAAGAAATCCAGATATAGGAACTGAGCTTACCAGGTGGCAGTGTTAAATGTTCTGTCCTACGACAGGCCATAGAGACCTGCTTGCTGTTGCCATGCCTAAGTCAGTCTTCCCAAGTTTGGGCGTCTGGCTTTGGCTTGTTCCTGCATAGAAGGGCAAAAGCAGCTAGCTGCAAAGTTCTGATTTGGTTTCATATTCCAGCTATGGCAGAGTCACTGCTGGAGCCTGGATTTAACTCTGTCTGGGATTGGTAGTGCCATGGAGGATGCTTGCTTAGCTGTGGGATGAGTTGTTCCAGAATCACTGAAGTGGAGGATTTCCGAGCAGCAATGTCTCCAGAGGGAGCCTGTCTTGCTCTCCTTGGTCAGTGCCAAAACACTGCTTTGGGACACGGGAGCAGCGTTCTGCAAAGACGACAGAGCCGCCAGCACGCTGCTAACCCCTGTTCCGAGTAGGGCTGGCTAGGGAGTGACAGTGAGGCCAGAAATAAGTGACAGCAGAAACTCCTCAAACTTTCCAGTGAGTTGCCTACAGAAGAGAGGGTCTTTATAAAATTAAGGCAGACAACTCCCAGTTTGCTGGCTGACTGCTGAGAGGTAAAGCACATGCCGCGGTGAGAACTGATGGTCTTGCCACCAGTGTCTTTGCTGTTAGGATAGCGAGGCTCACAAGGCAAAATAATCTGCTTTGAGACAACAAAAGACCTCAGGGCTACATAAACAAGAACTGCAAAAACTTCTGAGAACCAAATAAATACAGGAAGTAAGTGGCAGACCTTCGTGATACACATCTGCCACCTTTGCCACGCTGTTGAAGTCAATATCAAGGGGATGTCTGATGTGATACCCCAGCTCTGTGACCACAAAGCTCCTGGCACTGGATATGTAAATAGGGCAGCTACATACCTAGACACAAGCTTGTGCAGGAGTAGCTTCTGCTCGTCTGCGTGTACACATTCACACTTCCCTGAGAATTGCAGGATGGTGGAAAGCACCGTGGAAGATGTGCCAGTTTCAGAAATGAAATGCTACTGCAGTAAAATGCTGTCTAGGAGAAAATCTCTCTACTTGAACATAAATCCTTCCTACTGATAAATATCCTATTGTTTCTGAGACATGACAGCTCATTCTCGTTGCTGTGACAGCTATAATGAGTGTTTATTTGGAAGAGGGTTTGTTTTTTTTTTTTCTCTAATCAAAAGCTAATCCAATGCACTGAATGATGCCCCAGAGAACAGACTGCTGTGACTTGATGGGACTGACAGCAGAAGCAGCTGAAGACTCCCCAGACTACCAAATCCCTGTAGGTCAATGTAGCTGAGCAGGGAGCAGGTAAAAATGAAAAAACAGACACATCTCAGCACACTGGACTTCCAACAAAGCTAATACTGATCAATACCAGTGCCAGTGGGGTTCTCAGTGCTGTTTCTTACGCGCCAGACTGTTCTGAGAACGTGGAACTCGCTTCACGCCTGACAGCCCTCAGACGGTAACACCTTTTGGTCACTTATCACTGACCCAGCCTGCATTTGGGCTGTTGAACCAGAAGAGAGTGTCTCTGGCAAAACCCACTTTGTTTTGACATTGTCTCAGCATGAAGACAACATCAGACTTTCCATCCCCAGGCAGCATATTAACCTGTCTTCCATCAGCATCTGAGACAGGCCATCCAAGGAGCAGACCTGCATTCCAGCTGACAGAAACATTTCACTCCAGGCTTGGACTGGCTTTTTAAGGGCTCTTTGCTTTTTAAGGGATACATTTTCAGGCTAAAACACAAGCTAGAATTAGAAAAGCCTTGGAGAGGTAACTAACGCGACCTCCTGTATTGATTTGCCACATGGAAAGGAACATGCAGTTTGCTCATGCAAAGAACTGGCGTGTGTGTGTGCGTGGTTATACGGCATACCTGGTCGTCCATGGTGTTAACCCCCTCAGGCCCCAGGGCATCGATCGCTTGGTTGATCAGATCTGTCCTTCCACAGTTTAGCATTCGGAAACCCAGATCCTGCTGGAATTTTTCAGTAGCAGCCTTAGCATCCAGTCTCCGGAAGGAACTAAAGCAGCATTCAGGTCTGCAAAATAAAAAATAATTTCTGGATTTTTTTTTTTTTTTAGCCCCGTCTCCTACAGAAACCAGGCTCATGAATTTTCCTGATTTTACCCATCACATACCTTCCCCAGGGCGTAATCATTTCTGAACAATCTGGCTAACTTCACTCACACTGGAGATAGAAGCTTTAGATCTTCGAGAAAGACAGTAAGTTCGTGTAAACGCTTCAAAATAAAATTAAAAAAAGGTGTCCCAGTAGGGAAACCTCGTTGGTGCCCTCCTCTGAGGGAAAGGCAGAAAGAAATCCTTGGTCCTTGCCAAGAGTGGTATTTTCCAGCCAGCCCCACACTACAAGGGGCACCGCTTCCCTACATCTTATCCCGCAAAACGGGGAGGGATGCTGGAATACGCCCGTACCCTGCCCATACCATAGCGGGCACCGAGCAAGCGGGCTTACTGCAGCAGCGAGGTCATTGGGGTGCGACCGGCGTCACAGGCTGCAAACCCACAGCAACCAGGTTTCCTTAGTTCTGCTTCTCACAAAAAACCCTACCCAAACCCAGCTGCTTTAAATAACTAGCTGTATATATTTTGGATATCGTGTTTGTGTTGTCCTGCTTGTTATAGGATAGTCCATCAAACATATGCAGTAACATGTTGCACGGAGGAGAAAGAGGTGGCGAGAAAGTGCATATAATAAAATACCAGTGTGGTTCTAGGATGAAACAATTATGCTGTCTGTCTACCAGACTAGCTATTGTTTTCAAATAAAAGGCATTTCTGAAAGAAGATCATGATCCTTATTCTTTTCTGGAAAAGAAAATCAAAAATAAAGAAAAAACTGAAATCAAAATTAAATTTAGGTAGTGGAACTTTCTCAACTCTTTTTGAATGCCTCAGTAATAGGAAGAGCATTAACATTTCTATGAGGCTCTATTAAATCCTTCTCCTTCAGATGACTATCAAATGACCTTCATCTCATTTGGAAGGAGTCCAGGGATTACTGTAACTCCTCTGGTCATCTGCTCAGAGACTTCTGAATTCCAAACCTGGAAGTGTATCTCCTTCCCTGAAGAAACACGGCCAACCTGGTGGTGTTTCCTATCTCAGCTGGGCACTGATACGGTCAGCCCTTTGATGCTATTTCAGGGCGAATGCCTTCTCCAGTAGCCGTCTGGTTTTCAACCCAGGCTCTTGTGCAAGCTCTCAGTGAGCGAGATATCAGCCTGCCAAGTTCCTTTGAAAAATGAGATTCTTTCAACAAGGCTCACCTCTTCTGGAAACTTTGTACGGCCTGCCAGATAAGTAAAACACTCATCACTTCACCTAGAAGATGCCAGAGGAATCTTATTCACGTTTTAATTCAGCTACTCATTCTTTAATACTTCTGAGCTTTCACTGATGGATGACAAATGGTGAGCAGATGCTATGAACAATATGGTGAGTTAACAAAGATCCCTCCACAGCCTGGTGACCGGTCACATTGTATGGAGGAAACCAGCATCTCACCGCAGCTGCTTTCAGAAAGCCACTACATCAGGGTACAATTTGGGGAACAGTCAGCAGGGAAGCGAAGTGACAGTCTGGGAGGCACTAGCTCTTTGGAGGTACATCTGCAAATAAAATGTGTCTCCGAGGCAGCTGAGTACAAATATTTGATCAGAGGAGAAGATCTTTCAAGCAGCCAGATGCTAGATTAGGACACTTACAGTACAGGGCACAAGAGAACAGCAAGGCAAAAAGCTTAATGCTGGACAAGTATAAATCCTAGAGCTAGGCTAGTCAACTAATAATCTTGTTCCACTAAAGTAATTGGTACAGTATCGTGATGCTACAATATTATGTAGAATATGATACAATGACTTTGTATAATAAGGAGGACGAGAAGAAAAAACCTATGTAAAAATGAAATAAAATGACATTGCTTGAAATCCAGTGAATCTCAGAAAATAAAAGTTTCTGAAGGGGTGGTACCTGTCCTTGCACATTGTTTCTATTTGCCAACAGCGCTATTTCCAGGCATTGTTGGAGCAAGGCTGGTGGGGGAACAATTCACCGATGAGCCCTGCAGAGCCACCAGCAAAACGAAACAGTTGCGCAGAGCTGGCGGAGAGACCCCGCAGAAAGGTGGACTGCGGTTCGTGGTGCAGAGGTGCCAGGAGGCAGCTGCCAGGAGGCCGCTTCAGGCGTGAGAATTTGAGGTCAGATTTACTCCTGGGGGACCTGCAGGCTCAGCCCACGCAGAAGTTACTGCACACTCGCTGCTCTGTAGCGGCAGCTTGACAGCGTGCTCTTCCGTGATAGATGCAAAGTAGCTTTTTGCTTTTAGAGTGTGATAAAAGTTAGAGCATCCTACAAGAGCCGGCAGGGGAGAGCTCACATACACCCCACCGCTGTGCAGCAGTTGTAACCACAGCAGGTTTGCCACGTGCGAGTTGTTATCCTGTGGAGAAGAGAGGCAAACTCTTGCACGCTTCCTAAAGCAAAGGCTGCGCTCCTGCGGTTGCCCGGCGAGCAGCTCCCCACGTCCGTACGCCCGGCTGTGCCCAGGGGATAAACTGAAGGTGGACAGAGAGACATCGGGGAGGCAGAGCCCAGAGAGCAGGGAAGGGGCTCGGGCTGAGGTCCTGCTTTGGGAAGGGACAGCGAGGAGAGGGGGCAGGAGCCTGGTGTGCTCTTTGGGTTTCATAAGCAGTAACTACTACTGTGACTACTACTGTAACTACAGCTACTGGTAGTGAGTGATTTGGCCTGCAGTGAGGAAAGAATAATAATAACTTCAAAAGCAGTGTGTGATAATAATGTTAAAATCTCAACATTTATATTTAAGTAGGTGGAAAAGAAACACAGTTGTCTGCCATCCAGCATTTCCCCACTTACATTATTACTTAACCAGGAACAGGTGAGTACTGAAGATGTCCATAAATTGTCTGGCAAACATAAACTGAGAGCATCCTATTAGAAGGCTTCATCCCCTAAGACACAATTAATTGCTGTGGAAGACTATACTGCCCAAGCAGTCTGTGTCAGAGAACAGATATTAGAGGTTTGAATTTCAGGTTATACTAATTATACTCTGTTCCTCTGCACAACTTCCCTTTCAGGGATTTCAACATACCCTACCTGACGCATCACCCCTGCAAGGAACTATCATTACATGACTTTTAGCCTGGGCATCACGAGGAAAAGTGAGTTGCAATTTGCCTATAGTGACACAGCAAGCCAGGGATAAATTTGGCTTCAGTTCCAAGATTTCCTTTTCCCCTAAATGTCCTGTAATGGTGAGACACAAATGACTGCTATAAAGGATCATCTAATGGGCGCTGGAAACGAGGCACTGCTCTCTCCTCGTGGTTTTTTTCTGTTTAAATCTTTCATGCAGCAAATGATACCACACATCACAGAACATTCTTAGACCTCTGAAAAGAACACTCAGACAAGACAGTTCAGAACGAAGACCTGGTCAAGCTTAATTTTGATTTTTGTCCTCTGCTACAAAGACAATGTGTGTTACTTTCAAGCAGCGGTCGATTCACCTGCAGGGAATGCACACCGCATACATCCCTGTGGAGGAACAGTTTGGTGAGGTAAAAGGTGTGAAAGGATCTTAGTTTTCTTACAGCATTGCCATTCTTTCTGTAGTTACAACAAACTGAACAGAAACCTCTAACATACTCCTTCCCTGGGCCAGTAACTGCCTTAACAACCCAGCAATCGAATTATCTTACGCCTGAATATCCCACCTAGCGTGGCTGAGGCCCTTTATACCTGCTTCTCACTTTTATTTATTGCTTACATTATTTTGGACCTCCTGGGTTCCATCGAGACCTTCATTTCATAGCTGTATCGTTATGGCTTCAGTCTGAAGTTACTGAGGTTAACCCCCTTTTCACAAAGGCTGTCTTCCAGGTGTTTCCTTTTAGCTCACATCAGCAGCAAAATCAAACACCGGAATCCCTGCCCTCTTTTTCTGTTTGTTTTTTAAGATATACTACCTATGAAGTAAGGGACTACCTGTGCTTTGTACGTTAACGTGCACAAAGAAGCAGTGCAGAGATCGAGTGGGATGCCTTTGAAGTGGAAGGCTTGGATTCAGTTTTGAAATCCAAAGTCTTGCTAAAGAAGAGACTGAAAGAAAAACCATGAAGCTGACTGGAAGCGCTGGCGATTAGGTTAGTCTTCCGCGGTACTGTTCATCAAAGAATTTCAAAGGTTTTGGCAAGCATTAGGCACATATGTAAAATTAGTTTAGCCCATATTAAGTTGCCTACACTAGCACCTACCATCCACACGTAAGCCAGAGTAGCCTGTGCTTTAATCGACACAGAGCACACGTACACTGGCAGCAAAAAAGGGAGAAGAAAAGTGTTCCAGGAATAAGCGTACAACTCCTGCTCTGTGGACGCCAAGTCCAAGTTCAGCTGCTCCTTTTCAGTCTGAAGCCAAGGAGCTGAAATAACTGCTGAGGATCACCTGTTTAACTTCACTTTTTAAAAGACTGGCAGCCCTCTCGGTCAGCCAGGTACCGCGTCTCAGGAGAAAGGCAGGGGCTGAGAGCTGAGAAGAAGACCAGGAGTCAGCTACAGCCGACGAAACGTTCAGTCAGCTAATTGCACCACCATGCTCGCCAACTAATTTAGCTTCGCATTTGGTTTTGTGGGTAAGAGGTAGCACCCTTCAATTCACAGATGGGGAGACAGAGACGTAACAACGGGTAAGAGCCTTTTTGGCTGCCAGAAGGAAAAGGTAAAAAGCAACGCAACCCGATCCAGGACTCCTGATTAAAAGTCTCTTGTTGCTTTTATTGCTCATGAAAAATAATTCTAAGAGTAATGGTGTATTTTTATCTTTTCAGGTGATCATTTCATCACTTAACAGCATGGTAAAAGTATTATTTGCTGTTATTAATGTGTCCCACCCACTCATTTAACCCAAAGGTATATGGGGGACAAAATTCACTCAAGGAACATGAACTTACCTTGTTCTAAAGTTCAAGATGTAACCCTGATATCAATACTAGTGCTAATGACTGCAACTTAAAAGGACTACAAACCTGAATAAAATACCTATGATGTGCTAATGAGCCAAGCTAATTATAAATGCCAGTTCAATATTTATGTGAGGGGAAGATTTTAAAAGGTACTGATACTTTTCATCAAGCTATCTCAAAAAGTAAAGAACTATCTTGTAATTAAGGCTGAGGCATAAAAAACCCCAAATACTTGTATTTCAATGCTCTGTCTCATTCCATAACTTTTGGCACGACAAGAGCTTTCTGCCCCAGCCGCAGTGTTTGGCCAAAGTTTCTTCATCTCTCGGAATACTAAAAGGTTAAACATGTATCGCCTGTACAATATTTTGAGCTCTGGATCCCATGAAATACAGTAAGAAGAATATTGTAAGAAGTTACAATTATTCAGCTGCTTGTAAATCTTAGTCCACATACTTCAGCTGCCGAGGCTCGCAGTCCAGCCCGGGTAAGAGCAGTCTGGCTGTCTGCCTGATGTCGTCGCTGTCCACGGTCAGACTGCGCCGGTGCTCGGCGTAGGTGATGGCCACTCTCATCCACTCCATCAGCGGCGGCAGAAGCATGAAGGGTCTGTGCAAAGAAGGGGAGGGAAAAAAACAACATCGTAGTTAACATCGGCCTGCTATCTTGCGTTATGATGCGAAAGCAGTGTGTGCTTGTGGGAAGCTGGCACAGACAGAGCCCACCCGCAGCGGCAAACGCTGGCCCTGTGTGCAGCAGGACCGGCGGGTCACAGCAGGTGGAAGGAACTGGAACTGCTCAGCCGTGGTGATCTGAACTGCTTCTTACCCAGACTGGGGTCATGCCACAACACGCAGTTTCGTGCAATACATTTTACCCTGTGGGAAATAGGGCCAGACTGAGTAGAAGGGACCTACTTCTACTACTAGTAGCTATGGGTCAGGTCCCCCTAGCTCAAGCAGCCTGTGCTTTGTTTTGGCTCAGAAGGGCTCTCGTCTCAAGGGTGCAGCTTATAAAATAATCATGTCTGTTGTTCTAAATAATCCACTCATACAGGCTGCTCCATCGCTTGCTTAGTACCACCAAAAATACTCTTGATTGTTTGAAACTTCAGTTAAACCAGGCTAATTCAGTACTACCTCCATTGATTTTTACATTACATTATCACTATCCGATGGCTTTTCACATCCTACATTTCTCAGGCGCAGAGCTCAGGCCTCCATCTTTGCACAACTGGCCCTCCAGACTGCAGCAGAACTGGTGCAGCTATGTTCCTATGTTCTGAAGTGAGCTGTTTTGCTAGGGAGGAATGAGCGGACTCAGAAAGTAAACAACTAACACGGAGACATCTTTGTGCAAGAATAAACGTACAACATTACTTCAATTGTAAGCAATTTGTGGAAAAGCAATCTATCTCTTCCTAATTTGTACAGCACAGAACACAGTGGGGTTTTGCTCAGTATGAAGGGTTGTAAGGAAATAAATTAATATAAACAAGGTAATAAGAGTCACAACACCAGCCATTTTCAACTAGGTTATGAAGAGCCCCCCCCCCTCCTGCTGTAAGAACAAACACAGTACTGAGATTACACAATAATATATGGGTACCATAACGCTCTCACACACAACATGTCCCATCTATCCATCCTCTCAGACTGATCTATTATTTGCTTGATTTTTCCCCAAGGATACCTGCCACCCTGCTGGAAGGCTCAGAAGTGCCAGCTGTAACTGCAAACACCTTTCCCATTTCCAGTAACGAATTTATTAATGCCTGAAAAAAAGCTCTTTTCATTTAAGCATTCAAAAGAAAATAACTGAGGGGAGGAGGTACCAATTCCTTTACAAAGTTCAGAGAAAAAAGATACAGACCAGAAAATACAAAATGATTTTGGCATTAACAAAAGCAGCTGAACCCATGAAAGGCATTTTCAAAGCTGCGCATGTGTATGTGCGCGCACATAGGCGAGCACAGTAAGAGCAAGCAGCACCAATCCCGTTAGAAACCATTTATCAGTAATGGGATTTGCAAGCAGAACTCCCTTTGGATGACTTTGAACATACTTCAGGGTGGAATAACTCCACTCTGTAAAATATGTGCCATCGGTTTCCATTTTGCCGGTTGCAAGGTGCGCTCTAAAAGGCTGCCATTATCTCTTTACAAACGAGTGCGCTATTTTTCCCTCTGCTCCTTCTCTGCTTCTGAGTAGTGAAGCAGCAACTGCAAAATCAGAGGTCCTTTTTCAGCAGCTGATCAATCCTGGATTGCCAATGCAAGGGTGTTCTTGCACCAAACATCTTCTTAGTGCTTTTACCAGTTTATGTCAAACAATCAAAATCTCAGGGCTGCTACATCCATGACTTGGAAAATTACCCAGTAGCTCATCAGCTGAAAGACTTTCTGGAAGTCCAGTTCGAATCCCCCAACCCGTTCAGGCTTTCTAACTTGTCCCAGACACATGGGATGGGACAAATCCCCCCAGCACAGCCAGTTCAGAGTTGACTGACTTCCCTAAGGGAAGAGCAGCAAGCCGCAATGGACATTTGGGAGATGCCTTTCAGCAGTCTGTTCCAGGGAACTTCAACCCTTATCTGGCCTACAACAGAGGAATTTACACCTTTTAAATGCAGGCGCTTCAGGGAGCAGCCTAAATTAACAATTCAGACTTTCTGCGTACTCAGCAGAGCCTCTAGTATAGGATTCAAAGCTCCCGAGGCAGAGGGGTTGGTTAACTAGGCTAAAAGCACCGGAATCAAATACTCGAGGTTAGATGGGGTGAACACCTCAAGAGCAATGGAAAAACTCACCTTATGAGTGATTGTATCTACCACCTTTTGTGGTAGATAAGCTATTTAGGCCACATCATAGCTTCCCTGATGCTTTCGTGGTGGGAACGCCGCTGGACAGAGAACCACGTCGATCCAGCACAGTCCTGATCATCTCATCAGCTAACGAGCCAAACCTTGGTAACTGTCACACACGGCACTGGGCAGCAAAAGACTGTGGGTCAGCCAGCAGAAAATAGCACTGAGTCTGCACCAGAAATAACACGTGTCCTGAAGAAATTTCCATTCTCTAAAAAATTCACATGTGCCAGGGTTATAAATGGCTTGCATGTACAAACAGACCTTGAATGTGGAAAACCTGGTTTGGGAAGAATGGGAAGGAGAAAGATTTTTTTGTTTGTTTTGCTTATTTTTTTGATCTCAACAGATTTTTTCCAAAGGCTTTAAAACTCACAGCTCAGCAGACTGCCTAGTTACGCTGTGCCTGAAGGAGAGCAGACTTTGGATTGCAAACAGAAACGTCGGGAAGGGTGCTTTCCTCACACTGCTATCCTAATTTGTCCCAGCCCCACCACTCGCATTGCTGTGCAAGTTGGATAAATCATTATTCTATCAGGAACGACTCTAATGACTTCAATTTCTGCCTTGCTGTAAAAGCTTTGCTTCTCTTGAAAACCTCTAGCTTGAGGATGGGCTTTCTATTCTCCGCACCGACACACCCACAGGCACACTCTCTTCTTTTATCCAGCTATTTCCTTTCTTCGTCTTGTCTGCGTGGGCATGCTCGCGGGAACAGCTCTGCGTTACTTTGCTCGCTGACACCGCATCAGATAAGCAGTCTTACCCCATGATCTGAGCGGAAAGGAAGAGACGCAGATCAGCTGAATGAAACGCCAACATTGGGTTGCATTGCACTAAAAATGAATGCAATTATTCCTCTTCTAGCAAATAAATGCAGTTATCATCCCTCTGGCCCCTAACCTGGGCATCTATCTGCCTCTAGGGAAACTCTGATCATTTCACAGTTGGAAAAACACTGGAGGAGGGGAAGGGGAGAAACCTTCATGGAAAATTAACTGGGAGATGCTGGAAGCTAAAGAATTAATTTCTGTCTCTGCCTTTCTGTCTGTGCCACGTTCTGTACTGTGCATTTTCCTCTGGACTTTCTGACATTTAGAAGCATTTGGCAGCTCATTAAATTCCGCACATGAAGTGATCCAGCCCTGGGAAACTGTCATACTCGCAGCAGTAGTTCACTGGGGACACGGACTCTCTGATTTCTGTGAAGAATGCCACCATGGCTTTGTTCAGCTTCTTGCCATGAAATTGTCTCCGAGCGATGCCACATGTAAACTGGGAAAGTACATAGCAGTGGAAAGTAAAATGGATACTGCTCATCTACTACACACCTTAGAAAGTATCACAGTGATGTCTGATACGTTCACGTGCTGTGAATATTTTATCCACAGGTTCTTTGAAATTTTCTGCATTTAGAATTGGACAGCTGCTCCGTTCCCAAGTGGATTGGGCTGGAGCTGGGCAAGATGTGCTCTGAGAAAGGATGGACTCTGTTGTGGGCTTTCCCCCCCTCATTTGAACTAAAACGCGTTGTTTAGACGTAACGGAGAAGAATGGTGGCAGCAGCACTTGGCAGAATTTATAGCAAGTTGTAACATTTTCCTGAGAAATGTACTACACTCATTTGACTAGAACGGCCCAGGACATGACTGGCACGTGGAGATCATGTGCAGCAGTCCTTCAGGATGGGCTGGGATCACAGGCTTTCAGTGTTATCTCATGCATCGCAAAGAAATTGGTCCTCAAAGCGGGTTCTTCTGAGGATTTTTAAGAGCCCTGGGGCGAAGACATTTTTGGCAGAGGGAAGTTAATTGTATGCAAAAGAGATAAGACCTCCACAGGAATTAGAAAAGTATGTCCTCCTCCTCCTGCACTGAATGCTAGGACAATGCACTTGGAGGCTGACTTACAGAGGAGAGGAACACCTTCTATCTCAACTGAAAACAGCAGGCCTTCCCAGAAGAAACAGCCATGCTGTCACGGGTCCAGTGACATGATTGCTGAAGAAAGGAGGAGCAAGGGGAGGAGGAGACATTTTGCCTGCAGCCACCTCTCTTCTCCTCCTGTGCTTTTTTTGCTACAGCAAAACAAAGAGAGAGCCAACAGCGACAGCAACATCAAGACAGAAAAACCTTGTTCTTCTAAACAAGAACCTCCTTCTTCTAAAGCAGGAAAGAAAATACTGTCCTAATGGAAGCAGGTGGGAATGGCAAAATTCATCTCCCTCTTGGCAATCTGAGCTGGTCCCGAGACATACATGCAACAGAGAGTCTTCCATCCAGCCTGTCCCATGTTCTGCTAGAGGGTTTGACTGAATAAGCTTTCTCTTCCCTTCATCTGCACAGATTTTAAACACAAGCAAACTTTAGCACTGCAAAACACTTGAAAATTTCAGAATACTTATGGTCAGAGTAGGGTAGGCCATGATAACTCTCCCATATTTGATTTACTGAAACTATACAGAAGCTATGGGCAGAGATGAATCCCAGATCTTTAGAGATCATTGTGTTTTTTTGCAAGGGACAGAAAAAAGAAGAAAAGCTTTCAGTGCAGTGCTGATGCTTGAGTTTAATACTGGAACCAAACTTTATGGTTTGGTCCCATCTTACCCTAAAATGACAGAGCTCAGTTACTAATGCAAAGCGAGTTATGAATAGCTATAAAAAGCTAAAGCTCACTCTCACCTCTTCTCTTTTATCTTTTTTTTTAAGGAATAAGCTTAAAAGGCACATTGCATGTGCGCA